GTTGGGGCTATGGCCTCTCAGGAGCTCCGCTGGCTGACGTTCTTGCTCACCGACTTAGGTGAGTAGCCCAGCTCTATCCCGCTCTTGTTTGCTGACAACAGGGCCATGATCCTCCTCTGTCAGGAGGCTCAATTTGAGGGCAGGGCGAAGCACATCCAGGTGCGGTACCTCCTTCTGTGTGAGTTGCAGCAGCGCGGTCAGGCTCGTGTAGTACAACTGGCTTCAGAAGCCAACACTGCTGACATATTCACAAAGGCCCTAGCGCCTCGTAACCATCAGTGGTTCTGTACTCAAGTTGGTCTAGTCTCAGTAACCTCTTTGTTACTTGTATCCTCATCTATGCCATACCTTCTTTGTAGGTGCTAGTCTATATCGGATATCTTGTAACACTTACTGACTGACCTTTTGGCCTTTGTCTCAGTGGTCAGATTAGGAGTGCTGCCCTGAGCTGTTTTATTACATACTCCAGAGGCCAGACTAGTAGTGCTGCCCAGGATGACTGTTTCTTGTTAGGCTCTGTCCCTACCCAGGCTAGGGGGTGTGTTGACGTTCATATATAAATGTTAGGAATATATATATGTGTAATTACTGTAGCCTAGCATTAGGATCAGTTCTTAGAGGGAACAACTCCTAGCTATACTCATGTATGCCTTGGTAAAAAATTCTCCCGAAAGTTGTCACCTTGGTTTGCACTGGTAAGCGTGTCAACTTATACATATGTTTGTATGTAGAAATTATAGACTAGACAGGTGTATGTTCTTAGAGGGTACAACTCCAACCCTAGATCTCCCTTGTTCTCACTTGTTTCTAGTTATCATCGTATTCTCACATGGTATCATGAGTAGATTAGGTCCGCCCACCTGCTTCCGCCCCTAGCCCTAGCCTACCGCCCCGCCAGCCCCTAGCGCACCTGCCGGCCCCTAACGCGCCCGCCGGCCCCTCGTGCCTAGCCGGCCCCTCGCGCCTAGCCGGCCCCTCGCGCACCTAGCCGGCCCCTCGTGCCTAGCCGGCCCCTCGCGCCTAGCTGGCCCCTTATGCACCCGCCCGGCCCCTCACGCGCCTCGTCGGCCCTTCGCGCTCGCCGGTCCCTCGCGCGCCCGCCGGCTCCTCGCGTACCTCGCCGGCCCCTCTAGCGCCTCGCCGGCCCCTTAGTGCCTCCCCGGCCCTTCGCGCCCCGCCGGACTTAGCCACCCCGCCGGCTCCTTGAGCGCCCACTGGCCCGTGCGCGCCACCTGGCCCCTTGCGCCTTGCCGGCTCTGCGTGCCTCGGGCCCTGTGCACCTCGGGCCCTCCTCGGCCTCCTGCCCGGTCCTCTCACCGGAGAACCCTACCCCCATGCCGCTGTGCCGCTGTGTTGCTGAGTACCTGTGCCGTTGTGCCACCGTGACACTGGACGACGTACTTCGCCAGGACGCGGAGGGGCACGCGATCGACTTTGCCGCCTGGCTAGTCGATCTTCGCCGGCACCTGACAGGTCAGCGCCAGGATGGGCACTCCCTGGCTATGCATGTTGATGGCTTGCTTCCCCGCCCCCCCCTGCCTGATCCCCTCTCTGCTGACCCCACCACTGCTGAGAGTGAGGCCTTCTCTGCTGCTGTGCTCGCTCGCGCTGTCTGGGACTCTCGCGATGCTGTAGCGCAGCTCGCCATTAGTCATGCGCTTCCCCTGTTTGAGCGTCCGTGCTTCACTCCTGGCGCGAAAGCCAAGGATTTTCTAGATGCAGTAGTTGCGCGCTACTCCACACCCGCCTCTGCCTCTACTGGCCGCTTGATCCTTCCCATGCTATTCCCCGATCTTTCCACTTTCCCAACTGTCGCTGACCTCTCCACTCACCTTCGTGCACTAGAGACTAGCTACCGCGTTGCTAGCACTGCCGCCCAGCTCAGTGCCTTCCTCCCACTATTTTGCGCTACCCTGTACCTGATTGCCATGTGCCTGCCTGACCTCTTAGCCACTATCGCTCAGTCGAGCAGTGTTGCAGCTGTCCCTATCTTTCAGGGTTGTGCTCCCTCCCAGTGCACGTGCGCTGACGTTTCTGCCACTGTCGCTACGACTGTTCCTGCCACTGAGACCGCAGCTGCGGCCTTCCCACAGCAGCAACAGCATCAGGGCCGTCGCGGCCCCAAGGGAGGGCGTGGTGGTGGTGGTGGTGGTGGCTGAGACAGTGGTTCTGACAAGGGGGTTGGGGCTGGTGTTCAAGAGCAGCAGCAGCCGCAGCAGGCTCAGTCACATCAGCCGCAGTAGCAACAGCCGTCGCCGCAATAGCCGCCGTGGGCCTGCCTCCCGTTGGGGTGGCCAGAAGCCCCTGGAGGTGGTGGCCGTGGTGGCGGTCCTCGCAGCTCGGCGTCTATCGGCGGCTTCGGTGCTGTGAGTTGCCAGTAATTGATACAGACCGCGCCCCTCCGTGGCACTGTGTGTCACCGCCCGCACCCCACCGCCCTCTGCTTCTGCCGCCTCGACGACCTTTTCCGTCACAGCTTCGGCCCGGTCCCGGACCTCCCTGACTGGCCCAGACTGCTGCGCCATGGTGTGCCTGTTTTCGACTTAGATATAGATCATATTAGTTCTGCCCTACATTCTGTGTATGCTGACGCTACTAGTGTGTCCGGATCTTATGACCCTGTGTACTCTAGCTTAGGCGTAGACCTCTGTGTAGTACAGACTCCCCTGCTGTGTCATGCATAGGACTGTTTGTTTTGTATAGCCTAGGCTCTGCACTAGCTCCTCCGCCATCCGCTGCTACCGCTTCGCTGTCCTTCACACTTTACTCTGGTGCGTGTGCCTGCTTCTTCCGCAACCACGCTGCACTCATGTTGCTTGCCATGCCTACCGGTGTCGCGCTTGCTGACCTCTCCTCTGAACCTGTCGTTGCTCGCAGCTACACTACCCTTCCCTGTCCAACGGTTCCCTCGGGTTCCCTTACAGGTCTGCACATCCCTTCGTTCTCCAGGAACTTAGTTGGTGTCGGCTGTCTTCAGGACCTCGGCGTCACCACTACGTTCTCGGGTCATGAGCGGTACGCTGTCTGTATCGAGGCCGCCTCAGGTGCCCCCCTTGTGACGTTCCCCCGGGACCCGGTGTCTGGCCAGTTTACGTTGGAAACTGTTTCCCCCGCAGTTGGCGCGTCCTCCCCGGGCCCTACGTCTACCCAGGTCACCGCGGCTAGCTCGAATCGGTCGCTCACTCACCCGTCGCTTCTGTGGCATCACCGCCTAGGTCACCCCTCACTCGCGAGTCTACGTCTCATGTCCTAGCACGGTCTCGTCCTAGGTTTCTCTGCGTCGCTTCCTACCCTCCCTCCCTCGCCTGTGCCACTGTGCACGCCCTGCATCGAGGGCCGGCTGCGCCGTGCTCCTCACTTCTCCTCGCTCCTCACACCTTCTCCAGACCATGCACCTGGGAAGTCTGGGGCCCAGCCCCCGTCCCTGGACCTCGTCGCGAGCGCTACTTTCTCATGCTCGATGAAGCCTACACGCGTTACAATACGGTGTTTCCCTTGGAGCGGAAGGCTGACGTGCCTGACGTTCTAATCCCGTGGGTTGTCGCTGCACATCTCCACTTCGGTTTCCCTGTGCTGTGTCTCCACTCCAACCATGGCGGCGAGTTTGCCTGTGGTCGGCTTGGACAGTTCTGTCGTGCGGAGGGCATCACCCGGACGTATACTCTACCTGACTCTCCGCAGCAGAATGGGGTCGCTGTGCAAAGCATTGGTTTGGTCATGGAGGTGGCTTGTACCTCCATGATTCATGCCGGTGCACCCCATTTTATGTGGCCGTTCGCCGTTCACTACGCCGCTCACCATCTTAACCTCTCGCCGCGCTCCCAGCGGCTGCAGGTTTCACTGACCATTCTTTGGACCGGATTCCCTAGTGACGCGTCCGCGTTCCACGTCTGGGGCTTCCTCGCACACGTTCGTGCCTCTGGGACGGACAAGCTCACTGCCTACACTATCCCCTGTGTCTTCCTCGTTTTCCACATTGACTCGTAAGACTGGCACTTTTACCACCCGCCGTCTCACCGCTTCTTTTACTGTCATGACGCCACTTTCGACGAGTCTGTCTCCTTTTACCATCGCATTCCCCACCGAGGTCTCCCGGTCTCCCCACCCCTGTTTCTGGTTCCCACTCCCCTGGTAGCCTCTGTTCCCCTCCCTCCATGTCCTGCTCCATCTGGTGTGTCTCACGTCACTCCCCTCCCGTCGGTTGTCCCGTTCGAGGAGTCGGCTGACTCTGGTGGCCCCACGGCGCCGTTCTCGCCGCAGGGCTACTGCTTTAGCCTTGGTTCAGGTGCCATCTCGTGGAGGTCCACTCGCTCCTCGTCTGTTGCTCAGTCTAGCTGTGAGGCTAAGATCTACGCCGGTGCCATGGCGGCACAGGAGCTCTGCTGGCTGACCTTCTTGCTCGCCGACTTAGGTGAGCGGCCTAGCTCTGCCCCGGTTCTGTACGCTGACAACAGGGCCATGATCCTCCTGTGTCACGAGCCTCGACTTGAGGGCAGAGCGAAGCACATCCAACTGCTGTACTTCCTCCTGTGCGAGCTACAGCAGCGTCGCCAGGCCCGCGTAGTACTTGGCCTCCGGTGTTTACACAGCTGATATATTTCTAAAGATCATCAGCGGCAATGCTTGCAGCTTATTCTAGTTCTTGTAGACTCTAACTTGCTAGGGCCTTGACTGTGTACTCCTCTATATTTATACCTTCCAGACTGGCCTTGTGGCTTCTCTTCCAGTGGCCGGACTAGTAGTGCCGCCCTGGTTTGCTCTTGCCTTGTTTGTACTCTTGCTGACTGGTCTTCGGACCCCTGCCTTAGAGGTTGGTCTAGTAGTGCCACCCTGAGCTGCGTGTTTCCTGCTCAGCACTACCCCTTATCTTGCCTAGGGGGTGTGTCAACTTATGCATATGTTTGTATGTAGAATGTACAGGCTAGATATGTGTATGTTCTTAGAGGGTACAACTCCAACCCTACCGTAATCCCCCGTATAAAACACCCGCCGGAATTAAGCTCCCCCGGGTAGCTTGAGCGGGTATGGGTGTTTAATTTAACTGGATTTAGTTACCACCCTACCCTTGGCCTTGAAAACATTTCACCACCCTCCCCCGAGATGAAAAATCATTTTTTCTACGGTTTGCTGTATACAACTTCTTGAATTAGACGTTAGCAATACAACTAGAGTACACCTAGTCACTACTCTGCAAAATTAACAGCTGAACTAGTTAGTGGCACCACCTGGAGCTTGAATCCTACCTATGTATTGGCTCTGCCTAGAACCTAAATTATCCACTACACTTTAAATCCTTACACTACGCCAGATACTCATGCCTCTGCCACTGCTCTAGTCGTCCTCCTCAGGCTCCTCATCACCAGCCTGCCACATCTCGACGTCGCTCCCATCTGCAAGCTCATCCCACCAGCAGTTGTCGTCATCCTCCTCTGCAATGCCTTCTGCCGGCCACACATCATCACTTGCTGCTGCTGCTGATGCAGTCTCTGTATTGTCTGCGCTCGTCTCAGCTGCTTCGGTTGCCGCTTCAGCACAGTCGATGTCGTCAGCCGCCAGAGACGCTGCATCCGCCTCTTCGTCGTCGGCGACGTCCCCGTCCACATCGATGAAGGCGTCGTAGAGGGGGTTGATGTAGCCGCTCTCGCCCTCCTCGACGTGGACATCGTCCATCACCTCGAGGTCGGGCTTGCCGCGGAGGTGGCGGAGAGCGAGGTTGTCCTTGGTGCCGTCCAGCGCATTTGATATACCGCACGTCTTGAATGAACTACGCACGAGCTCCTCTGGCACAGCCTCCCATGACCGAGCAATCCATTTCAAGATGAGCTCAGCCGGGGGCTTCTTCAGATTTCCTTCACATGGGATGGGGGCATAATGGGAGGAGAAGAACACGGGCACGGTAAGATAACGACTGGGAACGAGCACGGTGGAATTCGTCAACAAGCAAGAAGTCGAATAACTACTGAGGAAGCGACTAGGAAGGGGCTCACCTGCCGCAGTCTTCAGGTCGATGCCGAACTGCTCAAACCACGCGCCGTAGTCGCCGCGCACGCCGGCCTTGAAGCTCTTGTTCACTGCGACGTCCAGCGGTTGAACGAGAGGCGTGCAACCACCTGGGATGACCGCGCGGGTAAGTTTGCACAGCTTCATCGTCTGCCCGACTGCTTGCGTGAGGTGGCCCTTGTACGAGTCCAGGATGACGAGCGCCTCCTTGCGCCTATTCCCCGCTTCGCGCAGCGGGCGCAAGAACGGGTTCAGGACTTGAGTAGTCCAGTCCTGGACAAGCTTCTCGTCCATCCAGCCCTTCGGCTGGGCTCGGATGATGACACATGGATACAATCACAAGCCACAACAACAGTCAGAGGGTATGCATCGGTGTACACTATGCACAGAGCGAAAAGCAAAGGCGATTCTTACCCGGGGGAACCTGAATCTTTGGCAGCGTCTTCCGCTTGAAGATGACATACGGCGGGAGCTTCAATCCCGACGCGGTGACTGCCAACATGACGGTGAGCCGCTCCTTTTCATAGCCGGCCGTCCTCACATGCACCGTACGGGAGCCTCTGTGCTCCAACGTCCTCTCCTGGGGCATTTCGATGAAGAGGGGGGTTTGGTCGGCGTTCACGATGTGGTCGAGGTTGTACCGATTGAGAATCCGCATCTGTTTGACGAACTCCCAGAATTTCTCGATCTTCGTCCTCATGTCTGCGTAGAACAAAACAGTCGGAGAACAAATTCAGGCATGAACACGCGAGAAGCAAGACAATCAAAAGAATCAAATATTGGAAGTCGCGGCAAGGGATTGAATAACAAGGATGGGACGACAGTTTACCGTCGGCGAGCTTTTGCCCCATCTTCGTCTTTACCCGACGCGTAAGGCCCCAGCGCGCGCGGAATCTGAATGTCCAGCGACTCGACGCTCTCCAGTCGACGTCGGGATGATGTACGCGCATGTACGAGCGACTCCATTTCTGCAGCAGCTTGACGGAGACGACAAGCCCCCTCCCGCGGTGCCTCAGGAATTGTCGGTAGAGGGCGCTCTCCATCGTCGGGTACTTCGCTGGGCATCCGGCACCGACGAGGCGTTTGCGGCAGCCGGCGGCGACACGGAGGCGTTCGCGAGCATTCTTCCACTCCCGAATCGACACCGGCTGGACACCTGCAAGCTTTGCGAGTCCACGCACAGAGAGGTCGGGTTGAGCATCGAACATGGCAAGCCAGTACAACTTCTCCGAGGCAGAGTACGAGCGGCGCTTCCGCTTTGTCATCCTGCTTCGAGATGCGGGGGCATGGACATCGTGATTCAAGGTAGGACCACGGGGTCGTCGAATGGGCTCCGGAAAACTCGGCACGCTGACGCGCGGCAGGGGACGACGCCCTTCCGTCGTAGTGGCGTCGCCGCTTGCAGAATCTGTCGCAGCGGCGTCGCCGCTTGCAGAATCTGTCGTAGCGGCATCGCCGCTTGCAGAATCTGTTGCAGCGACGTCGCCGCTTGCAGAATCTGTCGCAGCGGCATCGACGCTTGTAGAGTCTGTCGCTGCGGCATCACCGTCGGCAGAGGACCGACGAAGTAAAAACGTCTGCTGGCCATAAGGGCCCTTTCGAGTCAGAAGGCGAGACAAGCCAGAGCCTGAGGCCATGTCGGGGGGACGTTACAGAGACGGAGCTAGAGGATGCCTTAGACAGCCCTTGCAGGGGCTGTCTTGAAGGCATCCTGGAGTCGAAACTGAAAATGAGAGGACGGAGCGGGGTAGACCCACTTCAAGAGTGGGTTGGAGGGGAAGGCAGGGACGTGGGCGAATCCCTCGTCCATGTCGCCCATGAAATGCCTCTCACGACCATCCACGATGTGTGATTCCGTGCGCTGGCCGGTCATGAGAAGGCATCGACAAAATGTGCCGTTGATTTCGCCACCCCATGCTGTGCTGGCACAGCGTGGGCTGGAGGCATCAAGGTGGCTGCCTGCAGCACAAGCTGATTGGCTACTCTGGCAGCATACTGAATCAGCAGCTTACGTAGACGATGTGGCATGCACATGGACCAAATCGTTGGGTACGCGATCAGATAGCGGAATGGGACTCCATACTCAGAACAATGTCCTGTCACAGGTACAGTTGAATTCAAATCAAACATTGCATATGCACATTCCATAACTCCTGGGTGCTGTATTTTTTTTGCCTTTAATTACACCCAACCCAAAATTTCGTTGCATTTTTATTAACACCATAGGGTGTTTTATACGGGGGATTACGGTATATCTCACTTGTTCACACTTGTGCACAGTGGTGACCGTCGATTCTAGTTATCATCGTATTCTCACAAATTTTACCCCGGGATTCATCAAACTGAGTAATGTCAACCCAATCCTCACTGTATTAGCATAATTTGCAGGTCTAGATAATGAGCGTGACGAGGCGAGATGAATCCAATGGTTACGTAAAATAGCACTTCATGAGTGAAAACGGGTGTTATTGAGTGCCTAAATGTTTTGGACGAGATCCATGGCGACCTTGGAGTTATTGTAGGATTTCCTAATGAATGGATGGTTTGGCATACAATTGTTTATGCACTACGGACAGTTGTTTCGAAAAAAACCAACATAATTACTCCTTGTCGTAGTGTATTTCTGCAGTTCCTCAGTTGTTCAATCCGATACGACGAAAACGAAATATTCTCTCGATGACATAATTGTCCTAGGAATCAATGATCGATGGATCCAGTGCAGTTGAGCGATGATTATTGAGAATCGACGGTGCACAGTGGTCCTCGGTGCCAGCCCCTCACAGTCTCCACCAATGAGCTGCTCCAGCGACAGCAGGCAACCATACGTTCAAGAGCTGCCTTGACGGTACCGAAACCACCTCCACCGCGCTGCACAGCCACTCACTCCTTCCAGCCAAGCCATACGCTCTAGTGTCGCCCTCCTTATGGCGCACAGCCCTCGCTGAATGTCGGTCAAGTGAACGGACATCCCTCCTTCCTCCCAACGAACCCAACAGCTGCCGTGCCCAGCCGAGCTGATAGATTATGTGCCCTTAAACTGCTCCCCGTCAGCACGACCCCTTCCCCATTCCGCGCTGCCCTATTCGATCCCTCCCCCCCATATCCCATCCCCTGGTCCCTCCCACACATGCCATCCCATCCTCCACCCAGTCCAACCATCCTTCTCACACGGGTCACTGTGGTCAGTTGGTTCGACCATTGTCAGTTCTTCACCTCACCAGTGTCACTTCACAGCAAGAGTAAAACTGCAATTCCGTATAGGGGAATGAGGGTAGATCGGCGAGGAGTGGCATGGATGGCGCGGGATTGCGGTGCAGACTAGGAGCGTGTTGCGCCAGCCGCATCAGCACGGGCTTGTGCAGAGACTGCTTCGGCTTCCATCCACATCTTACCGGATTGATTGGATTTCTTTTTTTTCTTTCTCTTCGCTGGTCGCTTATCAACGATTCTGCGTGAAGCTTGGCATTTCTCTCCCACCTCCAATTAATTTCTGACCAGCCGTGCGTTTAGCCTTTAGCCGCAACCGCATGCTCCCTAATTCCATTCGAATCTGCACAATTTCCTCGCTACGAACTTTCCCACCTCTAAAATTTCCCGCTATTAGATCGCAAACCTAACCTGCCGTGCCGTTCACGCAATTAACCTCTCCCCGCCGTCCGCCCACCATGGGATCCATGGGGAGATTAATCTCCTCGGTCTCAGGCCCGTTCCACCCGTTCGGCGGCGCTGTGGACATAATAGTAGTCCAGCAGCCGGACGGCGCGCTCAAGAGCTCGCCGTGGTACGTGCGGTTCGGCAACTTCCAGGGTGTGCTGAAGCGGCGCGAGCGTGTGGTGTCGATCGTCGTGAACGACACTGAGGTGGACCTGCACATGTTCCTCGACAGCAACGGCGAGGCGTTCTTCCTCCGCGAAACGGATACAGGCGGGGGTAGCGGCGAGGAGGAGGAGGAGGAGGAGGAGGAAGAGGAGGAAGAGGAGGAAGAGGAGGAGGAGGAGGAAGAGGAGGAAGAGGAGGAGGAGGAGGACGGGGAGGAGGGGGAGGAAAAGGAGGAGGAAGAGGGGGAGGAAGAGGGGGGGGAGGAGGGTGCGGGGTCAACGGAGAGCGAGGAGCAGGAGGAGATGGAGATGGAGGAGAGGCAGGGGCAGAGCGACAAGCATCGGAACGCATCAGCAACGACAGGAGCGGCGGGGAAGGCAAAGACCAAGGCGAAGGGGAAGGGGAAAGCGAAGGCGAAGCGCGGCAAGGGCGGCAAGGGCGGGAAATTGAAGGTGGACGTGCGGGAGATCGAGCTGCTGGAGGAGGAGGAGCTGGCCATGGCGAGCGCGGCGGGCGTGGAGCCGTCGCTGCTGAAGATGATGGCGGAGGCCAACCGCAAGATCCTCACCGACGCCAAGTCACCCTACCGCGTCGTGCGCTCGGGAAAGAAGCCGGGGGGATTCAAGGCCGGCGGGGGTAGCGGTAGCGGTGGTGGTGGTGGTAGTGGTAGCCACGCAGGGGGTCGTCGGGATGTGAGTCCTGGCGGCAGTCGCGCGCTGTCGCACACGCTGTCGGAGCCCGAGCACCCGTCGTCCACGCCGTCGCTGCCGTCGCTCAGTCGCACGCAGGACGATGCGACGCCGCTCACGCGGCAGCTGTTTCGCAGCCACTCGCAATCCGACATCGTGGCCAATTCCAGTCTAGATGCCACCGCCGCAGGTGCAGCTGGGGACGGCGAAGGGAGTGGCGCTGGTGGTGGGGTTGCAAGGAACGAGGGCGGCGACGACACGAGCGCGTCGCAGGTGTTTTCGCAGCTGGTCGCGTCGCAGGTGGACCCGTCGCTTAACGTCACGCCGCCTCGGCCCCGCGCGAGCCCATTCACCGGCAGCGCTGACGGCGCTGGAGGAATCACCGCCGCCTCCGCTGCTGCTGCTGATGGCGATGGCGGCGCGTTTTCGCTCGGACCGGTGAGCGCGGGGATTTCTCCCGCCACTGGCTCGTTGAGCCGTTCGCGATTGAAGCAGTCCCGAAGTGCGGGTAGCAGCAACGAACTGGTTGACACCATTTTAGAATCGGACTCCGTAGCAACAGGCTCAGGAACAGGCACAGCAGCAGCAGCAGCGAGTAGCACGTCGAACCTAGCGGAAGGAATCAACGCCACAGCGGCGCAACTCGCGTCTGTCACGCAAGCAGCCGTGTCCTCGGGCGCGGGCAAGAGCGCGCTCAGCAAGGGCGCATGCGCAAAGAGCGCAAGCGCGCCCTTTATAGGCATGGTCGCCAGCAGTAGCGCCGGATCCTTTGCAGATCACTCCGACCCCGACCTCGACCTCTCCGCCCGGCTCCCCCCGCCCGCGCTTGCCCCCGCCTCCGCGCCCGCGTCCGTTTCCTCCTCCGCGCAAGACCTCGCGCTGGTTGCTGTGGGCGCGGGGGAACGTGTGGGACGCGCTGGTAGCGCGGGGAACGCGGGCGCAAGCGCTGGCGCTGGTCAAGCGCGGAAAGGCGCGGGGGAGAGTGGGGGGATCGCGGGTGAGGAGGAGGGAGGGAGTGAGGGTAGGGATGAGGCTGATTTAGACCCTATACTGAGGGAGGGGAGGGAGAGGGAGAAGAAGTGGCGACAGGTGGTGACACAGGCAGCGGAGGTGATTAAAGATTTACCGTGGGCATGTGAGGGCGAGTATGCGGAGATGCAGAGGCGCAAGGAGGAGAGCGAGCGGAAGCAGGGAGCAGCGCCGCCCAACAGGCGCAGCTGGAGCTGGTTCAGCTGGCGGACCCGACAGCAGAAGGCTGCTGTCGCTGCTGCTGCCGCTGCTGCTGCTGCCGCTGGTGATGCTGCCGCTGGTGATGCTGCTGCTGGTGGTGCTTCTGGGTCGGGTGCAGGGGAAGGAGGGGCGGTTGGACGGGATGGGGAAGCAGCGGGAGGAGAGGGAGAAGTGGGTGGGAGGCAGAGAGGGGGGCGGACACGTGTGGTGGAGTTTGAAATAGGGGATGGGGAGGGGAGTGGAGAAGGAGGAGGGAGAGGAGGAGGAGGTGAGGACAAGAGGCGGGATAGAGGGGGGGACGAGGCGAGGGGAGATGAAAGGGAGGATGGGGAAGGGCAGGAGGGGGGGGAGCATGAGGGGGATGGGCGGGGGAACAAGGAGGAGGATGAGGTGGCGGCGGCGGAGTTGATAGAGGAGCTGTTCGACCGCAAGTGGGTGGAGGAGTCGCAGCTTAGGCGCAGGAAGTCAGGGCAGGGGGGCGAGGAGAAGTGCGCTCACGAGGGCGCGAGGAGAGGCTCAGGGGTGGGCGAACGGGAGAGGGAGAGGGACGAGAAGGGGGAGGGGGAGGGGGAGGGGGACGAGGATGGAGAGGGGGAAGGGGAGGAGGAGAGGCGGAGGGTGTCGTTTGCGTCTGTGGGGCGTGATGGCAGTGAGGCGTCTTCGTCGTCTGCCAGCCTGCACAGCCTGTCGCCGGGTGAGCTGTCCAGAGGCAGCAGCACAGAGGCACAGGGCGACAGCATGCTCGCAGATAGCATGGCTGCCGCGGCTGCTGCTGCCGCTGCTGGTTCTGCTGCTGGTGCTGCTGCTGATACTGAGACTGGTACAGGGGCAGGTGCAGGAGAGACGGGTGGGGATGAGAGGGGCGAGGAGGCAGTGGAGGAAGGGGCGGGGATGGGCGCGGGTGGTGGAAGGGCCGCGTTCAGCCGGGCTCTATCAGAGAATCAGCGGTTCTACTCGTTCAAGCGCTCGCCCTCTGACTCGGGGGTCTCTGTGGAGGGGGGTGAAGGGAGGGCGGAGGAACGTGGGGAGAGGGGGGAGGGAGGCAAGGATGAGGGCGTCCACAGGACAGAGGAAGAAGAGGGGGAGCTGAAGGAGGGGGTTGCAAAGGAGGAGGCTAAGGAGGAGGAGGTTGATTCGGTAAGAGAAACGAGAGAAGACGGGGAGCAGGTGGGAAGGGTTGAGGCTGAGGCGTGTGTGGTGGCATCGGCAGTGGAGTCAGGCAGTGGCGCAGTGACGAGTGTGTGTGTGGAGGTCGCTGAAGTGGAAGAGAGGAATGGGAGAGTGGTTGAGACGGTGGTTGTGGCACAAGTGGTGGGGGAAGAAGAGGGCGGGGGAGAGGAGGAGGAACAGGGAGGGGAAGGTGTGAGGGTTGAGGAGGTAACAGATGATAGTGAGGCTGCCGCTTCTGCTCTTGCAGATTCTGCTGCCGCCGCTGATGATGACGCCGCTGCTGTTGTAGTTGCTGTTGCTGTTGCTGATGCTGATACTGCCACTGCTGCTGTGCCTCCTGCTGATGCTGCTGCTTCTGCACTGGCTGCTGTTGCTGCAGCCACGGCTACTTTTGAAGAAGAAGCTCGATCAGAAGAGGCTGCAGGGGCGACTGAGAGTGTGGTGGCAGAGGGCGGCAGTGGTGAGGGTTCTGCTGAGGGTATAGCAGCAGGCGCAGCAGCAAGCACAGCAGCAGATAGTGAGGGGGTCGTAGCACTGGAATCTCTAGGAGGGGCCGTGGGAGGGGAAGGTGGAGGCTCCTCGCAGCTGCTGCTGGCACCTATATCGGATGGTGACAGTAACGAGTGTTATAGCCCTGCATGTGACAGTGCCGATCGTGATGGTAACGAGGGGCATGGCGAGGGCGAGGAGAGTGAGAGGAAGAGGTTGGAGCAAGGGGAGGGGAGGAATGGGGAGTGTAAGGAAGTGAGTGAGGCTGAGCGGGACGAGAAAGAGGATGGTGGGGAGAAGGAAGAAGCCGGAGTTAAGGAAGGGGGAGGGGGCAAGGGGAAGAGGAGAAAAAGAAGAGGGAAGAAAGGGAAGGGAGTGAAGGAGGAGGAGAATATGGGTGGTAGCTCCAGGCAGGGTACTGCGACGGAAGGGGAAGAGAAGCAGGAGGAAGTGGGGGAAGAGGAGGGAGAGGGAAGAAGGGAGGGAGAGGGAGCAGTAGATGAAGAGGGAGACAGGCACAGAGCAGAGGAAGGGAAGAAGCTGATTGAGGAGGGGTTGAGAGGAGGGAATGCCGTAGAGTCTGGTGGTAAGGGGTGCGATGAGTTGGGGGAGGAGAGAGACAGGAGGGAGGGGGGAGGCGCCATGGCGAATGGGGAAGTGAGTGCAGCCGTGGGCAGTGGAAGCGATAACCGCGTGGCTGGTATGGGGGGTGAGAAACACGAGGAGGGGGTTACGGAGGTGCAGGGAGGAGCAGAAGGGAAGGGTGAAGAGGGAAGCAGAGGAGGTAGAGAGGAGGGCGGAGGAGATGAGGTGGCGAGGGAAGGAGAAGACGAGCAGGGCGAAGACGCGAGGGCGCAGGAAGTGGCGGCAGAAGGGGGAGGGGAGAATGGAAGCGCGCGAGAGGGCAGTGACGGGGCTGGCGCTGCTGCTGCTGACGAGGTGGGTGGTGTGGGGTCGGAGGTTGGTGATATGGGTAGCAGGGACAAGGACGAAAAGGCAGGGGAGGGTGGAGGAAGGGTGGAGGTGAAAGAAGGGTGTGTGGAGGATGAGGAGGAGGAAGATAGAAAGGAGGTGGGAGAGGATGGGAACAGTGAGGAGGACCCTCATTCAGCCGCAGGTAAGCAACAGGAGGAGGGGCATGGTGAGGGGCATGATGAGGGGCATGGTGAGGGGCATGATGAGGGGCGTATGAATGACATTGGTGAGAAGGCACCTGCGTCTGGGGTAGCACTTGCAGGAGGAGAGGGTGCGGAAAGAGATGGGGAAAGCGGGGTAAGAAGCGAGGAGGAAGCACAAGTTGTAACACTGGCAACTGGTGCAGCAACCGCAGTAGCAGAGGCCGCAACAGAAGCGGCAGCAGAGGCGGCAGAAGCAGCGCAGGAAACAGCAACAGCAGGCCCAGCAGCAGGTACGGTGACTGGTGACGCTGGGGTAGTGGCAACAGCAGAAGCTGGGTCTGATTCAGTGGCTTCAGAAGCAGACACATCGCCATCTGAGGCAACAGAGAAAGTCACTGCCGCCGCTGCGCCTCCAGAGGATGTGGCTGCTGCTGCTGATTCTTCTGCCGATGCTTCTGCGGAGGCTTCTGCGGATGCTTCTGCCGATGCTGCTGCTGATGCTTCTGCTGATGCTTCTTCCGATGCAACTTCTGCCGCCTCTGCGTTAAAATCAGCGTCAGCAACTGAGTCTGAGAAGGCACAAGGCGAAGGTTGGGAGGATAAAGAAGAGACGGGGAGTTTTGTGGAGGGGCTTAATGAGGAGAAGCAAAGGGGGCGCGGTGATGAAGCCAAGGGGGAGTGCCATGTGGAGGCCGGACGAGAGGAGCAGGTGGTGGAGAGAGGGGCAGGAGAGGCAGGGGGGGCAGGGGGGGCAGGAGATGCAAGAGAGGCAGGGGGGGCAGGAGATGCAGGTTCGTCCCCACCATCATCTGATTCAAAACAAGCAGAGCAACCAGTTCGGGTGCCTGATCTTCCAGCTGCTGTTGAAGCAGCATCATCACCTTCCACCGCTCTTGCTCTTATCCCCACCTCACCACCACCATCACCACCACCATCACCATCACCACCACCACCACCACCATCCGCCCCACCCACCGATTCCTCCACTACTCTGGTAACCACCGCCCTCCCCCCCCACGCCCCTCCCCCTCACGCACCCCCCTCCCACTCCCACGGCCTCTCCCCCGCGTCCCCCACACCTCCCTCGCGCGCCCTGGAGCCGTGTCTGGAGCTGGCAGTGTGCCGGCACCTGCTGTTCCCCAAGATGGGCACAGACGCCGCTGCCTCTGTCTTCAACGCCGCCAAGATCACCTGGCACCAGTTCCGCTGTAATGCGAATTCCATCCTCTCTAATGACCGCCTCGTTGTAAGGGTGGGCGAGCGGTACTACCCCTGGTCTGTGGCTGCTCCGAAGCTGGTAGGCATGCTGGCGTTTGGCCAGATGATACCTCCCCTGCTAGACGCCGATGGGGCGATACCTGTCGAGAAGCCACCTCCCCCTCCCCCCCTGCTGCCCAAGCCTGGGGAGCAGCAGAAGGAGATTGTGGTGCGGGGCGCAGGAGAGGGGGGAGGCTGGCGGCTTTGGCCGTTCGGGGGGAGGAGAGGGGCAGGGGGGGCGGTGGGAGCAGCGGGGATGGCAGCGAAGGTGATGAGTGGGGGGGCAGTGCAGGCAGACGTGATGCTAGCCGCTGCTGCTGCAGCCAACGTGGCGATTCAAGTCGAACGAAGCAAGGGCGGCGCAGGGGGCAACAGTGCCGCTGCTGCTGCGGCCGCCGCAGCGGCGGTCAGATTCGCCCAACCGGGGCTCCTCCGAGGGGGGCAGCAGACCCAACTCCTCCTACGCGAGCGAGAGAACGAGTTCTACGAGCGGGCGACCCACGTGCGGTCGCTGACGCCGACGTCGGAGCAGCTGAAGGCGCTGGGGCTGAAGGAGGGCAAGAACCGCGTGCAGCTGACGTTCACCACGCGCATGTGGGGCCGCCAGGAGGTGCAGTGCTCGCTCTTCGTGTGGCGCTGGAACACTCGGGCTGTCATCAGCGACGTGGATGGCACCATCACCAAGTGCGTGCAGGGGGGTTTGTGGGGGTTGGGGGGGGTTTGGGGGGGTTGGGGGGGTTGGGGGGTTTGGGGGGGTTGGGGGGGTTGGGGGGTTGGGGGTTTGGGGGGTTTGGGGGGTTTGGGGGGTTTGGGGGGTTTGGGGGGTTTGGGGGGTTTGGGGGGTTTGGGGGGTTTGGGGGGTTTGGGGGGTTTGGGGGGTTTGGGGGGTTTGGGGGGTTTGGGGGTTTGGGGTGTTTGGGGTGTTTGGGAGGAATTTGGGGGGTGTTGGGGCGGGGATGAGAAAGAAAGGGGGGTGGGAGGATGTTTGATTTGGGGGCTGTGTTTGAGGGGCTTCAAATTACCATAGGACGCATGCATGTGGATAGTGGCGATGTGGACGGCGTTGTCATTAAGTATGGGCAGTCCTTCCATGGGAGGGACCTGCCTGCCGGGCAGCACGTGGTTGCGGTGGGAGCCACCTGCTGCCCTTGCCTGTCGTTGCCCGCCCATGCCTGCCTTGTGCCTGCCAACCAGCCATCTAGTGTGTGCCTCACTTCTCACCTTATCCTCTCCTCGCCCTCCTCCTATCCCCTCCTGCCATTCCTCCCCCCTTCCCTTCTCCCCGTCCCCCTTTCGCCCCTGCCCCCCTCTCTCTCCTCCTCGGCCGTGTGCCTGTGCAGGTCGGACGTGTTGGGGCAGGTGATGCCGCTCATGGGGGCGGACTGGACTCAGATCGGTGTGGCCAGGCTCTTCACGGCCATCAGGGTAGGTTGCTCAATGCTCACCATGTCTGTCTGTCTGCTGTGTCATGGTGCATATGCGTGCCTGCTGTGTCTCTCCCTGTATCTTTTTTTTTCTACCCCTCCCCTCGCCCCCTCCCCTTCCCCTTCCTCGCCATCCTCCCGCTTCGTTTGCTAACATCTCTCTTGTCCTGCTGTATTTTGGATCGACTCACAAGACTCCTTCCACCCGTCTGCCTTTTCCGGCCCCCTCTTTCCGTATCTTGCAAACCCTTTGTCTGTTCCTCACACATGCATCCTTATGTGTCTCTCATCCGTCTCTCATCCGTCTCTCATCCGTCTCTCATTCATTCTCTCATCTCTCTACCACTCCCAACATTCACCTTCCTGTCCGCTTGTCATTCTCACTGCGTGCATGCACCCTGCCTCTGCCTGTCTGCCCCCATACCCCCCTCCTCTCAGGCCAACGGCTACGAATTGCTGTTTCTCAGCGCCAGGGCCATCCAGCAGGCAGCGCTAACTCGCTCCTTCCTCTTCTCCCTGCGCCAGGTACCTGTCCTGTCCCATCCCCTCCCCTCCCCTCCCATCCCCTCCCCTCCCCTCCCCTCCCTACCCTTCCTTACCCTCCCCTATCCTACCCTACCCTCCCGTACCCTCCACTCACGTACCCTCACCTACCCTCCTCGACCATACTCTACCCCACCCTCCAATCCCCTCCCTCCCCTGCCCCCTCCTCCCCCCACCTCCATCTGTCATCTCGCTTGAACTCCTTTTTTCCAACTGTGTAAACCCCTCAGCTTCGCTTTTGTCTCCTCGCTCCCCTCAGCTCGCTGCTCTCCGACCCCCCTTCTGTCCCTTCGCTACAGTTGCCCCTGCCCCCCCCCTCCTCTTGGTCGCCTCTGTCCCACCTGCGACAGTGATTTATTCATCCCTGCTGCTGCTGTGTGCTGTAGCCGTGCCCCCCACCGTCCCCCTACCTGTGTGTGTTTCACTCATCCTCGCTCCTCCATCCCTCCTCTCGTCGTTCCCTCCCTGTCTCGAACTCTCTCCCCCCCCCACCCCCACCATCCCAGGACGGGGAGTTCTCTCTGCCCGAGGGCCCTGTGGTCATCTCCCCGGACGGCCTCTTCCCATCGTTATACCGCGAAGGTGGGTCTGCGGCAGTGCGAGAAGGTGGGCAGTGCTTGAAGGTGGGGCATGCTTCTGTTGAATATCCTGGATCACTTGCATCGTCGCTGCCTCGCAAGCACGGGAAAAATGCGTCATGGCACATTGCACATGTGCATGCTCAGAACCTAACTTCAGTAGTACATGCCATGTGCGGTGCGCTATATGTGCGATTCATGTCATATGTTGTAATTCTTTTTCCAATCTCACCACCCTCATCAACCCTTCCCCTCACCTTTCCCCCCTTTCGCCCCTCTCTCTTGCCTGCTCCTTCTGCAGTCATCCGTAGAGCGCCTCACGAGTTCAAGATCGCATGCCTATCCGTATGCTGCCTTTAGCCCTATTGTCCTCACCGTATCTTTCTCCCACTCTTCAACTTGCCTCCTCTCTCCAAACCCTGCTTGCAATCTCGCCTCGTCACACTCGTACCTGTTGGAACCCCTTACCGTTTCCTCTCCTTGGCCCCTCTCGACATTCCATGTCGTTTCACTTTTAAATATAATCAGAGTGGCACACCCTTTCTGCTACTGTCCGTTTTGCCCCTCCGCGCCCGTTTCTCTCCGATTCTCTTCCGCCCTCCTTGAGCGCCCCGTCTATCGCTCCTCCTTGAGCGCCCCGTCTATCGCTCCTCGTTCTTCATTCCTTTGTTGCCGTTCCTCCATTTCTCTTCCTCCGTCCCTCCGTCCGCTTCTCCTATTTCTACCCCACCCCACCTTCTTCCTCCCCCCCCCCCCCCCCCGCTTCCCCTCCCCCTTTCCTCCATCCCCCCCCAAATCACCAGGACATCCGGGCGCTGTTCCCTGCGGACGTGAACCCGTTCTATGCGGGGTTTGGCAACCGCGACACGGATGCAGTGTCATACGAGGCCATGGGGATAGCGCGGGGCAAGATCTTCACCATCAACCCCAAGGTGCGGGTGCTTGGGAAGAGAAAGTAGCTGGGAGCGGCTTAGGGGGGGGGGTGTGCGAGCAAGTATAGTTATGGAAATGCCACCAGCATCCCCTTGCACCTGTGGGGATAGCGCAGGGCAAGATCTTCACCATCAGCCCCAGGGCGCGGCGCTCACCATCATCAAGCTGAAGCTTCAGGGCATGAACGTGCGTACGGGACTGGCTTAGAGGGATGTGGGGTGTGGGGCGGCTGTGGGTGCCCCTTAGTGTGTGCTGCTCTGCTTGTCACATCGCTTTGCCAGTTGTAGCATCCAGCAGCCAATCCTCTCCCAACTCCTTTGTTCTGTGGAGCACTCCCGTTCCCTTGCTCACTTGCTGCCCCTGCCCCGTGCTCCCTCAATATCTCCTTCTCTCTCCCCATGCCTCTCTCTCTGTGTCTCTCTCTGGTATCCTTGCTTCTAGTTCCTCTTCCACTCACAAATACTTTATTCTCTCCCCCTCCACCTCTGCCCCTCTCCCTCTTGCTCCTCTTCCTCATTCCTTCTCCTTTCCGCTCCGCCCTTCCTTCACTCCCTCCCCCCCATTCGTCTTCTCATCCTCCCTTCACTCTCTCGCCCTCCCCCCCCCACTCCCTTCCCCAGGGCGAGGTGACGGTGAACAAGGTTCTGAGCGCCAAGTCGTACACGTCCCTGCATGACCTCGTGGATGACATCTTCCCCGCCTTCGCCCTCACCAAGCCCGCCGGCCCTGAACCCGTGAGACTCTCCCCACCTGGCCGCCCTCCCTCCACAGCTACGCGCCCACCTCCCTACCTTCACCACTGCTGGCAGCAACCTCACTGACTCCTGTCCTTGCATCGCCCTGCGTCCGTATCTCCCATCGTGCATCTGCTTACCACGAGCAAGCACTTGCTGACGTGCCTTGCATAGGGAGCCCATAACCTTAGTCCTGGCCATCGTGCTGGTGTGCGTGCGGCTCATGGGTCTGCCCCATTCCACACAAACTTTTGCAGCCTGTAGCCTCCCTTTCACTCATGTTGTGTTTTCGCTCTTGGATCTTTGCCCTCATCTGTGTATCCATGTGTGCGCGGTGCGCATGTGCGCCCGTGTGCATGTATGCATGTGTGTGCATGTGCATGCATGTGTCTGTTCGCACGCACATCAGGAGGACTTCAACGATTGGAACTATTGGAAGACGCCCATCCCCATAATCGATGAGGACCTCCCAGAACTGCTGTCAGTCCCTCCTCGCACGCATCCCATGCACTCATCCCATGCACGCATCTCTTTCTCTTGTTCCTCTTCCGCATCTCCACTCCCTGCTCCCTTCATCTCCCCACATACCCTGCTTGCCCCCATCTCACCATCCGTCCATGACTTTTTGCCGGGACTATTTTCCCTCACTCTTCTCTTTCACTCCTATCTTTCCCATTCCAATTTCCAGCCCATGCCTCGTGATCACACATGGATCTGCAACTAACCTTTCCATCCTTCCCCCTTCCCCCTCCCCTCCCCTCTCACCTTTCAATCGCCACGTACATTCCCTCCTTGCAATCCCTTCCAATCCACATCTACTGTCCCTAATCCAGCCCCAAGCGCAGCACCTCCCGCCGCCGATGAGTGAGAGGACGCCTCAGCGTGGGGAGGCGAGGATTTTCGTCTCTTGCTGCGAGGCATGGTGAACAACGGCAAGGCACACTGATTATGATGCTTGGTGAAGGGGGAAGGGACTGAAGCACGGCAGCCGATTGTTACATGTTTGGGTTGATGGCTGGCTGGCTGGCTGGCTGGCTGGCTGGCTGGCTGGCTGGCTGGCTGGCTGGGATTGGCTTTGCATTCAATGTAAAGATGAAGATTTACATATGCCTAGAGTTCCTATGGTTGGCGTCAATTACCGAATGCCATTAATGTACATAAAGCGATTCTTGGTATGACCATAAAACGAATGTGAAGCAGCGGTTTCTCTCGGTTTCTTGCTACGGGCAGGGGGGACTGTGGGGTTCAGGGCCTCAGATTTCAGGCAAATTTCCCCGATTCAGGGTTTTTCAGAGGTTTTTTCGATACCGTAATCCCCCGTATATAACACCCTATGGTGTATATAAAAATTCACTAAAAAAATGGCTGGGTGTTAACAGTGGCCCGGAAAAATATAGTGCCCATGTGTTATGTAAAATTTGAATTTGCGTGTTTCAGGCCATGTGTGTTCAGAAATGCGCGGAGCGACTGTTGTCAAACATGTGTATTTGTCATGTTTGTATACACTGTATAGGGTCGCCTCTTAGAGGGTACAAAACTTAGGTATATCTGTGTGTACTCTCACTCTATCATTATTCACTTCTCTACTTTGATATGGTATCACGCGTAGGTTAGGATCCCCCCCCACCTACCGCTTCCGCTCGCCCCCCCCCCCTAGCCCCGTTGTGCTCCTAGGCCCCGTAGCGCCCCTCCTGGGCCCCGTCGCGCCCTTCCTGGGCCCTGTAGCGCACCTCCTGGGCCCCGTCGCGCCCCTCCCAGGCCCCGTCGCGCCCCTCCTGGGCTCCGTAGCGCCCCTCCTGGGCCCCGTCGCGCCCCTCCTAGGCCCTGTAGCGCCCCTCCTGGGCCCCGTCGCGCCCCTCCCAGGCCCCGTCGCGCCCCTCCTGGGCTCCGTAGCGCCCCTCCTGGGCCCCGTCGCGCCCCTCCTAGGCCTTGTAGCGCCCCTCCTGGGCCCCGTCGCGCCCCTCCCAGGCCCTGTCGCGCCCCTCCTGGGCTCCGTAGCGCCCCTCCTGGGCCCCGTCACGCCCCTCCTAGGCCCTGTAACGCCCCTCCTGGGCCCCGTCGCGCCCCTCACAGGCCCCGTCGCGCCCCTCGTGGGCTCCGTAGCGCCCCTCCTGGGCCCCGTCGCGCTCCTCCTAGGCCCCGTAGCGCCCCTCGTGGGCCTCGTCGTGCCCCTTCCTGGGCCCCGTAGCGCCCCTCCTGGGCCGCGTCGAGCCCCCCCTCCTGGGCCCCGTCACGCCTTCAGGCCCCGTCGCACCCGCCCGGCCCCGTCGCCCCCTGCCTGGCCCCGTCGCAGCCGCCCGGCCCCGTCGCACCCGTCCGGCCCTGTCGCGCCCGCCCAGCCTCGGTGCACCCCTCGTGGGCCACCGTCCTGCTCGCCCGGCCCCGTCGCACCGGCCCGGCCCCGTCGAACCGCCCGGCCCCGTCGCACCAGCCCGGCCTCGACGCACCCGCTCGGCCCCGTCGCACCAGCCTGGCCCCGTCGCGCCCGCCTGGCCCCGTCGCACTCGCCCGGCCCCGTCGCACCCGCCCGGCCCCGTCGCACCAGCCCGGCCCCGTCGCGCCCGCCCGGCCCCGTCGCCCCCGCCCGCCCCCTGCGCTCGTCCCTGCCCCGGCCCCGGTCCTCCTCACTGGTACGGTTCTCCCCCCCCCCCCCACCCTGCACTGCCCTGCACCGTTCTGCCCCGCACTGCACCGCCCCGCACCACCCTGTACTGCCTGGCACCGCACTGCACCGCCCTACACCGCACTGCGCCGCACTGTACCGCACGGCACCGCACTCCACCTTGCTGCACTGCCCTGCACCGCACTGCACTGTTCCTGATGGCGGCGGAGCTTCGCTTCGACGCTGAAGGCCAGCCTCTGGAGTTCGAGGCGTGGCTTGCCGACCTCCGTCGCCAACTCACTGGCCAGCGGCAGGATGGTGAACCGCTTTCCGCACACCTTGACGGTACGCTCCCCTGCCCAGACCCCCCTGCTATTCTGCCCGCTGACTCCACACCCACTGAGCGCGAGTCCACTGCTGCCACTGCCCGTGCGCGCTCTGTCTGGCTTTCTCGCGATGCTGTCGCCCAGCTTGCCATTAGCAACGCCCTTCCCCCGTCCGAGCGCCCTCGCTTTAGGTCTCTCACTACTGCTCAGGCATACTTAGATGCTGTCATCCAGCGCTATTCCACCCCTCCTGCTGCCTCGGTGGGTCGCCTGATCCTCCCGATGCTCTTTCCTGACCTTGCATCTTTCCCCACTGTCTCAGACCTCGTTGCCCATCTGCACTCGATAGATGAGACCTGGCGCGCTGCCTGCACTGACGCACAGCTTAGAGCACACCAGCCGCCCATTACCTCTACCCTCTACCTGCTTGCCACCCGCCTCCCTGACCGCCTTGCTGTCGCCCGCGACCGCTTCCTTAGCATTCACCCCGCCGACCTCACCCTCACTGACTTTGTAGACACCCTGACTGTGATAGAGACCCGTCACCGCTCCATCGCCCAGGCGAGCGGTGTCGTGCCGGTCCCTATCTTTCAGGGTTGTGCCCCCGCCCAGTGTACCTTCTCCGACGGCTCTGCCGCAGTGGCTGAGACTGCTGCTGCATCGCAGTTTCGTTCGGGGAAGGGCCGCCGCCCCAAGGCTGGGTGCGGTGGCGGCGGCGGCGGGGGTGCGGGAGGGGGTAGTGGTGGGGTCGGGTCGTCTGGTGCTGGAGCGGACAAGGGGACCCTGCCCAGTCCAGCTGAGCCGCCGCCCCTGCAGTTGCAGCAGCCGCAGCAGCCGCCGCAGTCGCAGCCGCAGCAGCCGTCGCAGACGTGGCAGACGAGTGTCCTCCCGCCCGGGTGGCCCGGCGCTGGCGGTGGCCGGGCGCGTGGTGGTGTGCCGAGTGGTGGCTCTGGCGGCGGGCGTTGTCAGTACCAGATCCAGACCGGTCCTCGCCGCGGTTTCGTTTGCGGTAAGATCGGTCACTCCACTCCCCGCTGTTTTCGTCGCCTGGACGACCTCTTTCGTCAGCGCTTCGGCCCGTCGCCAGACCTCCCGGACTGGCACAGTTTGCTTAGACGTAGTATTCCGATTTTTGACTTGGACATGGATGCCATTGTTTCTATTTTGCATGTGATGTATGCTGATGACTCTAGTGTGCTTCCCGCCTATTACTCACTGTTGCCTAGTGTAGGTGTGCCTAGCTTAGCCTCCCCTGCTGCGTCAGGCGTAGGATCTCTTGCTTTGTGTAGTCTTGGTGCTTCCGCCGTCGTTCCGTCGCCCGACGCCTCTGCTTTGCTTTCCTTCACCTTGGACTCTGGCGCTTCTCGGTGTTTCTTCCGCGACTCCACCACCCTGACGCCGCTTCCTGTTCCAGCTGCCGTTTCTCTTGCTGACCCCTCCGGCGGTCCGGTAGTCGCCCGCAGTTCCACCACCCTTCCCTGTCCGGCGGTTCCTTCGGGCACTCTCACAGGTCTGCATATCCCCTCGTTCTCCAGGAACCTAGTTGGTGTCGGCTGCCTCCAGGACCTTGGCGTCACCACTACGTTCCCTGGTCACGAGCGGTATGCTGTCTGTACCGAGGCCGCCACTGGTGCCCCCCTTTCTACGTTCCCCCGGGACCCGGTGTCCGGCCTGTTCACTCTGGACACCATGACCCCCCCGGCTGGAGCGCTCACCCAGGTTGCTGCTGCCTGCTCCTGTCGGTCCCTCACTCACCCGACCCTCCTTTGGCACCACCGCCTAGGTCACCCTGCACTCCCGTGTTTGCGTCACATGTCCCAGCACGGTCTTGTCCTTGGTCTCCCAGGTTCCCTCCCCGCGTTTCCCTCCTCCCCAGCCCCACCTTGCACGCCTTGTGTCGAGGGTCGGCTTCGCCGTGCCCCTCACTCCTCCTCGTTTCCCCCTACCGCCGCGCCGCTGCAAACCCTGCACCTGGACGTCTGGGGCCCCGCCCCCGTCCCTGGGCCGCATCGAGAGCGCTACTTCCTTGTGCTTGTCGACGACTGCACTCGTTACACCACAGTCTTTCCCCTGGAGCGCAAGGCCGACGTGCCTGGAGCTCTCATCCCCTGGCTTGTCTCTGCGCGTGTCCACCGCGGTCTCCCTGTCTTGCGTCTTCACTCAGACCGTGGTGGCGAGTTTGCCTCAGGTGTCCTTGGTCGCTTTTGTCGGGCGGAGGGCATCACCCAGACGTTCACCCTACCGGACTCCCCACAGCAGAATGGGGTCGCTGAGCGACGCATCGGTTTGGTCATGGAGGTGGCTCGCACCTCCATGATCCATGCCGATGCACCCCATTTTCTGTGGCCGTTCGCTGTGTGCTACGCTTCTCACCAGCTTAACTTGTGGCCGCACCCTCAGCAGCCGCAGGTTTCGCCGACCTGTCTTTGGACTGGGTCTCCTGGTGACGCGTCTGCGTTCCACGTCTGGGGCTGCCTTGCTCAAGTCCGTGCCTCCGGCACGGACAAGCTCACTGCCCGCACCCTTCCCTGCGTCTTCCTCGGTTTTCCCCTTGACGCGTCCGACTGGCACTTTTACCACCCGCCGTCTCACCGCTTCTTTCACTCTCGTGACGTCACCTTTGACGAGTCTGTCTCCTACTACCGTCGTTTCCCCCACGGTGGTCCCCCGGTTACCCCCCCCCTGTTCCTGGTCACTCCTTCCCCGGTCGTCCCTGCCCCTCCTCCTCCTCCTCCCCGTCCCGCCCCCTCTGGTGTGTCCCACGTCACCCCGCTTCCGTTGGTGGACCCGGTTGAGGAGTCTTCTGACTCTGGTGGCCCTCCTGTTCAGTCCTCGCCGGCCGCCCCTCCCCTGGCGTCCTCTCCCCCGTCCCCCCCTCCACCGCCGCTGCCGCCGCTGCAGCCGTCGTTGTCGCGGCCGCCGCCGCCGCCGCCGTCGCAGCACCCGTTCGCTGACTCTGGGGGTGCTCGTCCCGGTAGCCCTTGGGGTGGTCCCTCTGGGGGTGCTGGTGTGGAGAGTGCCGGTGGTAGCCGAGGAGCAGCTTGCGGTCCAGGTGTCGCCGTTGTGCCGCCGCAGCAGCAGTCCCCGCCGGTGTCAGCCCTTCACGTGCTCGGCCTTCCGACCCCCGACCCTGCGGCTGTTCCTCTCCGACTGTCTCCTCCTCTTCCCGTCTACGGCCCTGTCTTCCCTCCGCCGGACTCGTCCCCGGCCCGTCTTCCCCCTCGTTCCCCTCCTGTGTCCCCTCCCCTGTCTCCTGACCCGACTCCTCCGT